CTTCTTTACAGGCACTGGCCACTATCTGCTTGTTTTCCTACGTGACTGAAGACTGAAACAAGTTGCAAGTGTTCATGCTGAACCACTGAAATTTATTTTGTAAGTGAAGGAAGTCTAGTTAGAGATTTTGCCTTTCAGCTGCAGAAAGGCTGTCTGTAGGAAGCTTTATAAAAATGAGAATGTGTAATGATTGTGTTCTAGTTATGTGTTTTTTGCTATTCAGGTGTACACAAGATGTTACCCACTGCTCCCTTTGATATGCTAATGGCTATTGAGTCTGTTGCCACCCATAGTTCTCTGTGGATTTTGGACTCTGTAAGGAAGTTTTCCCTTGAAGTCAACAAGAGTAATTGCGTGCCTACTGGTGGCAGGATTTGTCTTAAGCAACCGGACAGCCTAGCTGGAGCTGCTGCTGTAAATCTTGCGGCCCTGAAGTTCTTTTTGTGGCTTGCACTCTGCAGGCACTAAGGATGATGCTGTGCTTTGAGTATTTTTTCTAACTGCCCACTGGCTGCTTTCCATGGTCATTTGTAGTTTATGACTGAGTACCATGTAGAGAAAGGAAAAAAATCTGTTAAGTTAAAACATTTAAATAGAATCAAGGTAATGGAGATTTACCACCTTGTTGCATGCAGTAGAAAAACGCATGTACGTAGATAGTTTTTTGCCAGTCAAGTATCCTGTTCTGTATTCCCTTGTATGTCTGATGAGCAGATTGAGATGTATACCAGTGGTTTGAAAATTGAAAACCTTCAGTGTTCACATAAATTACAGGTCAAGTCTTCGTAGTGCATCACTGCCCTTTACAGTAAATCACATGTAAAACTAAGTTATGCCCCATTTAAATGACAAAGGAATTCTTGGACTACACAGTAGCTCTTTCCAGTAGTAGCTGAATAAAAGAAGGAAAAGTAATAAATAATTAAGATGGTAATATGTTTGACCACTCTCTTTTTTTTTATATGACTTTTTTCAGTTATTATTGTAACAGAATTGCTCCTTTCAAAGACAACTAAAGTGCTAATGATAGCTAAGAAGGTCATTCATAAGAGGTTAAATTGGTTTAATTAGTATTTATGAGAAGGTTACTATAAGAGTGCAGGAAGATGTTAAGGGGTTAACCTATAAGAGATTACATTGTAGTCAGTGTTCTGTTAAAGTTTGAATTAATTTTTCCCATGGGTTTTTCACATTCTAATTTTCAACTAAATGAGACATCTGTTTCAGAAAAGGAAAATTTGCTATGGTTGTCATAGCAACTATCATTCTGTAAGAAAATTATTCCAATGGTTACTTTAGAACAGAAAGATAGAAATTCAGTACATAAAGCAACATCCGACTGCTAGCACAAATTCTGATAATTCAGCCCTTTTTGTATGGTGGATTATTTGACCTGTAAAACTTGTTCATATGTTTTTAACATAAGGTTAATTGTGCTGTAAACAAATTTACTTCCAATATATTTTCCCCTGAGAGTCTTATGTGTAGACAATTATTATTTTTATCATAATAATAATGCTGTTGAATTTCAGTAGGAAATGGAGAGACTGCAACTGTTCTATTTAAGAAGATAAGACCTAAATCAAAGTGCATTTCTACACATGAGCATTTCACTTCAGAGGTGAATTATATTCATGATGTATGTCTTTAATTGCCAAAAATGGTTTTTTTGGTTGTTGTTTTTGAGAATAGGAGGTTTTCTCTTTGATAACATACAGCAGATCCTTTTCTTTACAAAATGTGAACCAATACTGAAAAATAATTATAAAAACATTATGCTTTTCATCAGCAAGTACTAATAAGGGGATCTGGAAATTTTGTGCTTAATACTAAGACTTCAGCTTTGCTTTCAGGTACCACCATAAATGGAAATCTTAGACCAAGTTATCTGTGCATGACATCCAGGTCACAGGCTTGTTAGTAGGTATTTGAGGAGATTTTTTGTTCCTACTCTGAAACTTTGATAGCTGTTCTGCAATAAATTGTCAGAAGAGGGGACCTGGGGGTTTATAAAATCTTGTGTGGGTATAAAGATGGTTTGGCTTTGGGGGCGGGGGCACTGAAGTGCGTGATTTTTCTTCCTTCTCTTGAATAAAGCACTCTACTGTCCTCCACTTGAATCCTTCCTGGGACTCCCGATTTTTGCCTGAAACACTTGGGCCATTTCTTTCGATCTTGGGATTGTCACAAAAGACAGCCTAATGGCAAATCAGGCAAGTTCGAACATTTTCCCTTCACAAAAGAACAGCTCCAGCATGCATAACTTACAGCCCCGCAGCTCGGGTGGGCGCTGCCGGCACAAAGGGAGGCAGGGACAGGGAAAGTGCTGCGGATCTTAATAAGCAGATCATGCCTATTCATAAGGGGAAACGGGCTCTTAACAAGCCGCGATGTACGGGCTGGGCCTGGGAGGGACAGGTTGAGGCCCTCGCGTCTGCATGGTGCCATTCGTAGTCGCTTGGATTTCAGTGGGATTAAATTGCGTTGTCGCGACCTGTGACGGTCACGATTATTTCTCTTTATAAATGCTTCATTGTGTGCTTAAAATAACGATTCTGGAGGTTGTTGACCTTCTCTTCGGCAAATATTGATCTTTCTCCTTGGGTTCTTTACAAGGGAGCAGTCAGTTCCTCAGTGCCCAGCAGGCTGCAGGCTGTGGGACGCATCCTGACCCCACATCCCTTGGGGACACGGGGACTGCGTTGTTTTGGGCCAGGGGGCTGCAGTCACCGCATCTCAGCTGTGACTGAAGGCTGAAGAAGGATCGACTGACTGACGCCTCGCTTGCCTCTTGATTGCCCTTGCAAGTATTTTCTGCCAGTGACTGGAAAACTTGCTCTGGGCCTGAGTACAGTTTGCCAAATAGTTGAGTATGTTCATCTTAGTGAAGGAAGCTGCTTGTCAGTAAAGGCTTGAAGTGTGATTCCAAGGCAGGGATGGGGAGTTTGGAAATAACCTAACCCCTGTGTATTTTTATAAAGCCTTCCACTTCTGGAACATTGAGCACCTTGCAGGCTCTGGTTTCTTTATTTTAACAGCATTTCTGTGAAACAAAAACACTCCCATTCTCTTAGTAACGAGCTGAGCACAAGGATCAGTCTTCCCAGGCCTGGATTTGGTTTGTGTGAGAGTGCTGCACATCAAAGTTAGTTACTGCAAAATAAGGCAGCAAATAGACTGTGAGTGATTACCACAGCAGTAGGAAAGGAGAAGTCATGTTCTGTGGGCCAGTTTGTGTTCCTGCTAGGAGGAAACCGTGCTGGAAGCTGAACAGCTAACCAGAAACGTGGGGTTTGAATTGTATGGGTATCTGCAGAAGGCAGCTACCCTGGTCTGAGCCACCTGGCTCAGAACAACGTTTCTGCTGCATTGGTGCTGCTCTTAGCATCTCTTCTTCACACAGCTTCACCTCCCTCGTTACAACTTCCAATGGCTGAGATATGCTTCTGGTTTCAGTGGCAGATGTACCAAGTTTTTTTTTCTTTTTTTTTCTTTTCCTTTGTTTCTTTTCTCCTTGGGACACCTGGCTATCCAGAATGCTGTGTGATGAGGAGCTGAAAGGTGATCTCTCTGTTAGCTGGGGGCACTCGTGGCCTTTGGTCACCTCTCTAGAAAAGCTGGAGCTTTTTTTTAGTCTGTAGAAGAAAGAATGGAAAAGCCCCCTTCTGCTTTTCCTTTTAGCAGAATTTTCTTTTCTTCCTGTTGGTAAACCACATTGCTTTATATTTTATCCAGCTCTAGATTTTAAGCTGTTTTCAATAGACATGTGCTTTGCAGCTTTCCGAAAGGAAAAGAGGAAAATATATCATCATGAAGATTGCAGACGTGCTAATTTTTGAAATGTTAGTCAAGCATCAGTAATGGGACAGGATGAATAATAGCTTCATGGGCATTTTCTTTTGTCTTTGCCATACATGATGTAAAATATAGTTCAGAGAATTTGTTTAAAAGATTTCTTTCTGTCTTTTGATGCAGCAAGGGAGTGTAAAGCTTTCTTCAACAAAGTAACATCTCAAAGGGAGCTCTGGTTTATGTGTATGTATTTATAAACACCAAGGCTGCAATTACCATAAACCTTATTAAATCACAGCAGTCTGTTTGTTGTTCTCCAAATATGGATATGGCCAGAACATGTCAGTCAAAAAATTATTTAAAAACTCCAACCTAAAACTAACCCTTCAATTTTATGGCCTAGAATTAGAATATAGTCAGCAAGACATAATTTACCACTGTGATATAATTGCCATGAAATACAGTTTTTTAATCAATGGGACTCCAAGGTACGGATAAATTGTGTTCTGACTGGAAGTGTTACAGTCCCACTGCTCCATGATGAGCCGCTCTATGACTACATTTTAAAAAGAGTAAATGCCCATATGTTAAGAAATCCTAAATAGATAGCATCTTAAAAGCCACTCCACATACCAAAAAACAAACAACCAGAAAAAAAAAGTATATAAGAAAAGTAGCAGTGTTGTTCTGATGGGATGCTTCCAACTGGAGAAACGAAACAGCATAGGTGATGTCTCCTTCTCTCTTCTGAGTGGGATTTGTGGTTGTGCTGGGTTCTGACCCTGCTCAAATGATGGTGGGCTACAACTCAAACATGATGAGAATGAGTGCAGAACACTTACCATACCTAGCTGTCTGAGGCAGGTGTGCTTCTAGATACCATGAGAATCTGGCATGCTAATCTGTAGATGGGGGTCTTGGTACTCAGCTGTTGTAAGAATTACTGTATACCTGGTTAGAACAATGTGAACTGTGAACATTGTACTATGTACTGCCACCGAATCTGTTAAGGGCTATGTGGATATTCCACACAAGTTATATAACATTGGTTGTACAGAAAGAGAGTTTCACTGTACATAGACGCACACAAAAAAAGAATGCTATTTGTGTCTCCAGATTCCGTGCTAATAGAAAGTTAATCACCATATTTTACTTAGGTAACCATACATGGAAGTAGCACTGAAGACATTCTCCTCCTCTCTTGGCAGGCAACCATGGTTTTATGGCTGGGGCTTTAATCTTCCACGAGGCCAAGCATTATTAGAGAAGTGGAACCTTATTCCAGATGGGATAGATATTCTTATAACACATGGACCACCTCTCGGTAAGAAAATATTAGTGCTGTTAGCTGTGAATTTCAAATGATTATACAGTAACTGTTGGCTGTCCTTAGACAAAGAGTGGAAACCTGACTTACGGAAGTCAAAAGTAATATCCTTACCGATGTCAGCAGCACCAGAACTTCAGTTCAGGTTTATGTTTTGTGATTACTGACCACTTATGGTAGGGAATTAAATAACGGCTACAAAAATAAAGTCTTAATAAATTGGGTCTTAATGAGCTTTATAAATAAGTGAGGTTCAGTCTTCCTGCGCATTTGCCCACGGTGCCACTGGTTGGTGAAATCAGTTGACTTGAAGCATGGAGCAGTTTTGAAGAGCAATGCAGGATTACTTTGTAGCACCATCATTCTCCCTCACCTGCACCAGCATCCCCCCTATCTACCATGGATTTGCATGCTGACTTGATTTATCTCCTGCTTCACAAACCCCAACACTGTGGTAGTTGGCCTATCTTTGGATAGGGTTAATTGCCTATTTTAAATACAATACAGTAACACTAGCAGGCCTGCAAGAAACAGTTTTGCATTTGTGTTTTACAAGTAATAAGCATACTGATGATACAGAGCAAGATGGGAGAAATTTTTTACCTTCTTGGATAACAGTGAAATGATCTGTGTTATTGAAATGAAATTATCACAGAAACTTGTCCTGATACAGTAAAGGCTTTGTTTTTTAACACATTTGTCAACAAATCTAACAGATAGCAAGCTGTGTCTAATGCTTATGTGTATTTAACTCTCACTAATAACTAGATATGGATGTGAAGCATGTACTAAAATGTTTTGCTGCCTCTTACTGCAGAATAGTATTTTGTGTAAGATGAAGGCAGTTGGTTCCTTTAAACCTTTAGATTCTCTTCATTCTTCAATTTCCTGAAGCTAAAATCCTCTTGTCTTTCACCCTTTCTCCTTCTCTTTCAAAATCTGGAGCAGAAAGTGTCCAAAGGGTTTGTGTTTTGTTGTTTCCTATAGAAAGACACGTTTGCATTCCACTGCTCACTAATCCTGGTGAAAGGGCTGCTTTGCAAGCTCGGTTTCTCACAGAGCAGGCCTGTGTGCTGCTGCTCCACCAAACTGGAGTCTCATGCCGTGTCACAGACTGCTCGTAACCTGGACCTGCCTCATAAAAGTGGATGGCAGAAATGAGTCGTATAGACCTTGATATATCTTCTCTAAATGATTAGCAGAGGTAATCGCTATGTAGATCCAAGGCTTGCATTGTAACAGTGGATCTTTGACACTGTCTTGTTCATAACTCTCCTGTTTCTAAAATTTCTTCAGGAACGTCAGCACTTTAAAAGCCATTTTTAAAGAGCCTTCAGCTCTTCCTAATATCCCTGTATCCCTGTTTGAAATCCATTGATTGAAGGAAGAGAGCAAGTTTCACACCACTCAGTTTCAGGCACTGTGCTAATTTAGTCACTTGCTTTTGTTATTATTAATATTATTAGTGTTAATAATAAAAATAAGCTTGAGCTGTCGTCCAAGGATTTTCCTTTTTTCAAGTTCACATATCTGTGTCTTTTTCGTATTGATACATTCATAGCACAGAACGCTCTGCCTGAGAACATCAGCTGTTGGCATCCCTAACACTCACGGCAACAAATACATGACACTTCAAAGAAATTAGCACTGTGCCCAACCTACAGAGCCTCCTTAATGTGTAGCTTTGTCCACAGACAGTATGGGAGACAGGATTTTCCTTAACCCTCCAAGCTAATTATTTTAACCAGAAAGCTGATTACTGTTGTTCTGATCTCAGATAGCAAGATCAGAGCTGTTCCTAATGATCATGTAAAGCAATCAGTTCTCTTGCAAATTCAATTTTTTTTTTTTTTTTTCCCAGCACGGCTCCCTAAATTCTGTCATTCATTTTCTCTGCTGCTTTCTTATTCCTTCACTTCCAAAAAGCATGCATCCTCCTAAACTAATTAATACTACATTATTGTATAGATTTAAATTTGCCCACAATTTAGATGCAGAAGCAACGTTAAGAGTTTACGGACTTCTTTGTTTCTAACGAAGATATAATCTTTTTTTTCCCAGAGCTTATAAAATATGGTGCTTTACAAGCATTAATGCTGATTTCTGAATCAGCTTATTTTTGTTAGTTTTATGTGTAGTGTAACTTTGAAAGTCCTTTCCCAAAGATCTTCAATTATGATTCTTTCCTCTTCAGAAGTTGACTTCTTTTTTTTGTTTGTTTGTTTTTAATTTAATTTCACCCTTAAGTCTTCATTTCTAGCTGTCTGCTTGATTGTCTGTGACAAAGATTTATACTTTCCTGACAGCTGCAGAAACCTGTTTAAAGTAACCAAACATTAAAAAAAAACCCTAAAATGATCTCTAATTGTTAGCTAGGTGTAATCAATTATTCTTAGTTTGTGTAGTCAGGTGTACATAATAAGCTGCTAACATATGGGAAAGCTTCAGAAGGGTGATAATGCATGTAAACAAAAACATGTTCAACATAAATAATGCTTAATTTAATGGAGAAGTTAATTTTATGGATTTTTGTTTGTGAAGTTTTTGAAGTGGAAATACTTCTCCCTTTATGTTCACCGCAGACTTTCTGACAATTAACTGTTTCAAATCGTTGAAGTGACAAAGCCCAAAGTTATAACGTGTTTCCTATGAAAAAAAATGTGAACTGAATCCCTGAAAAACTGCTGGTTTCACTGCGACATCTTAAACAGTTGTTATTTCCTGCAGTGAATTTTGAAGTGTGTTGGGTGCATTGATGTGCTCTGTCTGTAATTCAGCTGGCTTTCTCTTTGTACATCCCCTCATTGGCTGCCAAGCACCATCTTCAAAGATATCTGAATAAATTAGGAGCCAGCGTCCACTATATGACACCTAGTTCACAACTGATAGCAGGGCAAATTTCTATCACTTAGATAAAACCCACTGAGCTCAGTTTCCGGGCACTGGCATCTGAAGAGGTATTTTTCAATGTGTGAACCTACTCTGAAGCTCCAGTAAAGCTGAAAGCTTTTCCAAGAGCTTGAATACTACACTTCTGGCCTTTTAAGCCAGCTGGTTACATACTACTTAGCCATGCCTGATTGCACCTCAAAAGTAAACATATGAAAACGAGGTCCAGACTCTGCACCTCCCTGACTGACAACAGTTTTCTCAAAAGCACAATATATTCCTGCTGTTGCAGCAGTCTAAGTCAGAGATGTAGAACTATGACGGGCGTGCAGTGAGAGCACCAGAACAAATACAGAAAAACAGAACAGTGGTATTTTTCACATTTCCAAATTTGAGCCTGATCAAAAATGATCAAACAATGGAAAGGAAGCAAGAGGGGTTTCTTCCAAAGCCTCTAACACAATAACATTCTTATTCAGCTGTGAAGGAAGCAACACACTTCAGCTGGCAGCAAGTTTATGGACATAGAAGCAAGTCAGTGTACATTTTTTGTCTCATTTTGTTTCATAAAAACTGTGTTTTTATACACATCTGTGGGAGTAAATACAGCATTTCCAAATGTATCTGCTGCACGATGGCTAAGCTTCGTCTGCTATCTGAAGCCCTTAAATTGATTTGACTTGAGGATGCTCTTAGACATGGTCTGGGTTCCTCACCTTGTTGTGCTAAAGTAAGAGTCAGTGTGAAAACAATGTCATTTTATCATTAGTCACACAGATTCATTATATTGGTTGAAGTGTTTTGTTTTAATAACTATATCCCAGGGCTGGATTTAAACAGCTAAGTGTTGATTTAGGTGTTGAACTTTAGAGACTCACTTTGGATATGCAGCTCTTTAATGATAATCGGTCTCTTAAAGGAAGAAGAATGGATGAAGCACTGAGATTTCCTGCTAACGGCAGTGCAAAACAAAATGTTTTAATTGCAGTGATTTTTTCCCTTGAAAAATTATTGGCAAGAGTTATCGTAGTCCTGTTTCTTCAGATGAGCTTTTATGTTTCCTTCTTTCCTCTTCTACTTACCAAAGCAAACACCATTTTTTGCCACGTCAGTTCTTCTGACTGCTTATGAGAGGCCGTGAGACATTAAATCTCAGAAATGTTTTTGAATACTACAGCAGTGCAGCTTTGCAAATGATCTGTCTTCTTTTAAAGCTTTCCTTTCTTTTCCAAAGGTTTTCTAGACTGGGTACCTAAGAAAATGCAACGGGTAGGATGTGTAGAGCTGCTGAACACAGTCCAGAGACGAATACAGCCAAGGCTTCATGTGTTTGGACATATCCATGAAGGTCAGAAAACATTTCTTTCTGTATATACTTGAAACCCACAAGCACAGAACTTGTCTGTTTTAACCAGTATTTTTCAATACTGAAGTCTGAAGTAGCACTTTTGGAATTCAGATACTTATTTAGCTGCAAATATGCAGATGAAGTTGGCTGATACTCACATTTCAGTATTTGTACTTCAGTTTCTCTTTTAGTTTCTTCATCTATAAAATAGAGTGGTGCCTTCTTCACAGTGAGGCTTACTGTGAGTTTTAAAATGACACCAGCGCAGTAGTTGCAGGAAGGGACTAAATATTAAGATCGATAGATTGTATTTTCCTCTGCTGAAACTCTGTGACTTAAGGTAATTCGTGCAAGTTCTTTGTGTCTCTGTTTCTGTGTTTTTAAAATGGGTGAGAGTTCTTTAGGGGGTACTTCTGAAGCCTATTCTTTAAGATTGGACAATAAAAGTTGTCTCTCCCTCTCTCTCTCTATGAATTTAAAATGAAGAGCAATATCACCACTTACTTGGGTAGAAGTACAAGATGCTTATTCATGTATTTATGTGCTTTGGCAGGGGAAATGTTTTGTAGCCGGACAAAACACGACATTTCTCTTGACTGATTTTTAACTGGAAAAAATAAGTTCTCTTCACAAAGTCAGTAAATGTTAGCAAATGTGTGCTGCTGAATTCAGGAACAGCAGGAGTTTGTCTCCAGGCAAAGGGTATGGTAGATGCCCTCTGCTCCAGAGGAGTCTGTTCCAGTGCACGTACAGTGGCAGTAAGTCTTCAAGCATGCCCCCACCAGAAGAAACCACTGGGCTGTGCAGAAACGTGCCCATCGGCATGTCAGCATGTATTATTAGCTACTTAGCTCTTGGCAGTGTTAACTGATTGGCAGGAAAAGGTGCTCCACAACTGCCAGTTTTTGCTTCTGAGATTGCTCCGGACTTCAGTGTAGGATATCAGTGGGTTTCAGCAGTGCAGGAATGAACTAATGGAAAAACTGGAGTAACTGGCACCCTGATACTTCTGCTTTTGTGAAGAATTATTGCCTTTCACAAAAAATCCCACTTGGACTTTCTGCTTGGAGTCTTGACCCTGCTAGGTTAAGAGTGGTTAGAGGTGCACTGCTTTAAAATTGACAGAGAAGTCACTGAGATCATTATTTTAGAGGGCAGGAATGAAGTTCATTCTCTTTTCTCATCTGTGATGACCTGTTAATGTCCAAATTGTTGTTAAAAGTACAGAGCAAACAAGCAGTGCATAGGCAATATTTTTTCCTAATATCTTGCTGTTACAGCAGGCTTTGAGAATCTGTACATGAGAGCTGGTGACTACAATTCAAACTCATTGTCTTTTCAGAAATAGGCCAAGTGAGTTGCAGGGGAGGTAGGCAAACAGTTAGTGAGCCAAGAAGCTTCAGGCAGGTAAACAAAATCACATCTGCTAAGACCAAGCCCAACTTTGGCTCCCAAGTGAAATGAGTGGCACCTCCACAGTAATGGTATATCATGTGAATTAGTAAGTTGGCACAGCAGGTATCAGAACACAGAAACAAGGTACTCTTCCCATCAACTACCATAATTTAGAGAAAACAAATGGGGAGCTGCATAGCCTGTTTTGCAGTGGGATGGCAACTCTCTGCAGAGGAGAATTCCCACTGCAGACAGGCTGTGCAAACGAAGCTGCTCTTTGTAGAGAGAATGCATGATTTGAACAGATGAGTTCCTCCCTTGACTGGCATAGCTACATCTGCAGCAGTCATTTACTGAATATCCAGGAGGAAGAGATGCTTAGAAGAAATGTTTCTTCCCTATTCCCCCTCTGCACAGCTGTCTCTGCCAAAAAATACCTCTCCACATGGCCTTGCTGCTGATTGACGTGGTGGTGATGAGATGCCTGGCAGGGGCTCCAGCTGAAATACTGCTTTGCCAATTACAGCCAGCGCTTGGTGGAGGTCAAGCCCAAGGAAACTCTGCTGGCAGTAAGGAAAGAGTGAAGACTGTAGTGTGATGAATCTTCCAGCAAAAAGAATGTATTAGCAAGCTTATTTTGTTCTCTCCAAATGTGTAGCTGAGGAGACAGAAACTCCCAGCAGCAATGCAGACTGTCCTTGGTGCAGCCTGTGTTTTACACAGGACGATTGTTCTGTGGCAAACAGCACATGATGTAAAGAAATGTCTGTGACAGGAACCTGACAGAGTTCCCTCCCTACGCCCTAATTATAATGTGGCTTTTCCATGGGGGAGTCCAGGAGGCCCTGCATTTTTCAGGGTATTTTAAGGATCTTTGTTTATAAATGCTACAATTAACAGTGCTTCTGTAAGACATGGAATTGCTTTCAGAAAAAACTAGGATCCTATGTACCCAGGAGAGCAACAGTTTAACTCAGTGCACATAGGTCGCTCCGAAAGTAATGCCTCCTTTTTTATTTCCATGGAAACTAAAACTGGTACAAAGAGCACAATAACATTATGTGATAGAGCAAATTCTCAGCTACAAGACTCTATTTTCTAACACAGTCACCACCATTAACTATTCATTTTTGCCAGCAGTGAACAAGAGCCTGCATGCCACACTCATAAAAATCTTCATGACCATCTGGAACGTGGTTTGTCTTTCACATCACTGTCACCACTGCTGAAATGCACCACCCACCACCTCACTGTGCTCACATCTACTGTTTGGTTTCCATAAACGTCCAGGAAGTGTTAATGATTGTCAGTGGGTACCATTTTTTCCACTTTGAGGAATTCAGTGGCACACCTTTCCTACATCTGCACTTTCATGTCAGGTGCCATTTTGTCAGACTGCCCCTCTGCTGCCATGTCACACAGTGTAATGGAATATTGTTGGGAAAGTTCAACCTTTACTGCCATACCACCATCACCTGCCTCTGACGTTGTGCACCAGCATAATAAAATAGGAGCAACCCTTGTAGCAGTGAATATGTTTCACTATTAACTTTAGTAACAGTAAGATTGGTTGTTGGTACAAAAGCCTTCCTCTAGGTGATTTTCCCAAAATCATGTGTTTCAGACTGTGAATGCATTTCATTATATTGATCATAATACTTGCATTTAGTTCAATGAAAGTTTTCAACATGAAGCTTTAGTGTTATCAATTCATGCTTTCATGCTTTCTCCTAGACGTACATGAAAATACTTTTGACAGTGGACAATGTGTTTAATTTTCAGTCCAGGGGCTTTTTCTTCAGCTTTTCAAACAGCATTTCACTGCATTTCTACAAGCTTAAGAACTGGCAGTTTGATTTCCTGCAGATTTAGCTCTGAGAGTGTCTTGAATGTCTAGTCAGACATGAGATGTAGTTAAAACTTTTTCCCTACTTGTAAGACATTCTGGAGGTGTTTTCTCCTATGGAAATGTTACAGTGTCTGGGGGGGAATTCACCTTGTCTGTCAAAGAATGTATTAATGAAGTCATTTTTCTCTTCCATCACATTTTATTGGAATTAGTCATCAAGATCAAACACATGGGAAGAGGTTCCTACAGAGACCAAGCCCAACCATGTGTATATGCATACATCCTCCCCTTGGTCACATCATCCTTTTTCTCTATCAGTTGCTTAAAATATTTACAACACAGCACGGAAAAAAAAAGGTAGAAGAAGAAAAATTGCCCAAATTCTTTTGCATGGATGTCTGCAAATCTAAATGAAGTATTTTTTTTTTTTTAGTGCTGAAACTGTCTAAGCTCTGTCTTCCAATCCCTTCTAAAACTGGGGAGGTTTGAAGAAAACAGCTTTTCAAAGAGAAATACCAATGTTTATAAGGAGGTTTGGGGGGCAGGTTGCCAGAGATGATAGCCTTTATCTAGTGAGGGTCAGTTTTTGTTTTCTTATGCTATATGGCAGAATGTTCTACTGTAGAACAAAGATGGTATTCATCCAAGAGACTTTCACATTTTGCATTAAGGTAAATTTTAAACACCTTCTGAATAATAAACGTGCCAGTCATCATTGTTAATGTGATAAAGATAAATAATAAAAATGATTTAAAGATGAATAATAAGAGTAATTAGAGCTCTTCTTTTTTTGTAGGTTATGGTGTCATGGCTGATGGAACTACTACCTACGTGAATGCTTCTGTGTGCACTGTGAATTACCAGCCACTAAATCCACCTATAATTATTGACTTACCTACTCCGAGGAATACATGATTATAATAAAGGATTTCATGTTGTGCCCAACACATTAGCAACTTTATATTGCTGGCTGAGAATCCCATTAGGGAACTGTTCAACAAGAAAAGTCCTTCTTCTCTTTTTCCTGCTAGCTCTTCACAGATAAATCTGAGTGACAAAAACGGATGATGAACAAAGACTTTTTGGTGCCAGAAACAGATTAAAGACATATCACCATTAAAATGTTTGTGAACACAGAAAAGTGAATGCATTCCACATCTATATACATATACATCTCTCTCTCTCTCAAGTAGGGACTTTTGTATATACCGTACATTATATTGGACTAACTAAAAGAACAGTGTCTTTCAGAGGAATGTTTCTTCAAGAAAGTTTGCAGTTTAAACAGAGTTTAGACTAGGATTTCCTCATTTCAGATGTTTCCCATTGAGCTCTTGATAAAAGTGATGTTAAAGATGTTTTCCCTTAACACAGGATACACAAAAGATGCTTCATAAATGACCAGCCACAAGAGGAAAGCTATTATTTCAAGCCTTCCAGGTCTTGAGTCCTTGCATCTATTCCAAACCAATGCAATAGAGGTCTTAATTCACTGTACTGAAATGAAGTTTGCTACATCTGACATTAAGGGAAAGGATGCATATTGCCAGCATGTTCTAAACAGCTCAAAATCTAAGAAGGGAGAAGGGAGACTGTGTTAAGTGCAGTATAAACTCAGGAATTTGAGAGCTGATTTCGCCTGTGGGGAAAAAAAAAAAAAAAAAAGAGACGTTTCCCTTAAAAAAAATGAAGGAGTATAACTGTGTTTTCATATGGTAAGGCAATGCGTGATTGTCTGTAAAAAGAAAAAAAAAACAAAAACAACACCCAACAACCCATTGCTCAGTATTGAAATTTTAAATGAAACCCACTGGGACTATTTGTTTAAAACTTGTTGCTGGTATATGCAGCCAATAGTGAGATTTCTGTTTTGAATTTGGCCCATGTCAGCTGTGACTGAATGTCATTGTGATCATTTTGTCCTTTGGGAAACCATATGGACCTCAAGGGGGAGGGGGAGGGGTCATCCAAAGGTGGGGTTTGGGCATTCAATTTTTGGATAGTTATGTAGTAGCATAAGTGCAGTGAGTGATGAGTACATGCCAGTGGGTACAGAGCAGAGCTTGCCTCACAAAGAGCTTGCCTGTCATGGCCATGTACCCATTCATGGGCACTGTTGAGGGAGGCCCAAGACAAAACCATAAACCCAGCTGAAATCTGTCTCTTGTGCTGCGTGTAGATGCATCCAGGCAAAGCAGGGGGTGTCAGGAGCTGCTGGGGATGGCTAACACCAATCCTAACTGTGCAGCTTTCCTGCAGGTTAGCAGAGGTGTTGAGTCTGCTGGGATTTCCACACAGTCCTGGGCAGAAGCTAGAGAACTGTCTACAAACTTGCAAAAATACTTGCTTCATGTGTGTCCCGCAAGAAATGGGTTTCTGCCTTGAACTAACACCTCTATGCTCAAAGCAGCTTTTCTGCCTGGATGGAGATCATTTAACTGCTGGAATCTGAATGCTGACTTTCAGTGTTTGGGGCTGACTGCATTTACATATTAATCTTGTTTACACAAATTAGGCAACTCATCTCACTATCAATACTGGATTGTTTTCAGCTCTGCGCACAGCTCCTATGTGCACACACACAGTGGATGGTAGCATCGGTTACTTTTTGCCTGATGTATGGATGTGAAGGCGAGCTTGGTGTAGCGGCTGCATCTATATCAAAATTCCTGCTCTGCCAACCCAGGCTAGCAGCCACAACTCTAAGGGAGGCAGGCAGAAATACTGCATTTTGGGGGTTTCCTGAATCCTCATCCAGTGGATGTTGGAAGCTGTGCAATTTGAAGCCAGCAACTGATGTGCTGTGGGTCCACTGACAGCAAGAAACATGGCAAGCCGTAGAGCTGTCACTTCCTGGAGCGGCTGTGTGACTTAGGATCTAAACTGATTTGCTGCTTTTTCCTGAAACAGGCAAACAAACAAAAAACAAACATAAAAATGAGCAGGGGTTTCCTGGAGTGAACAGTTCACAGCACAAGAACAGTCCGCCACTGAATTCAGCTGGGTCTACTTTTTGTAAAATCCATTGGTGTAGAAATTGCAAGATCAGCTCCTAACTCAGCAAAGGCTAAAATTCATAGCTTAATGTGAACTCCCACCATCGTTGGGAAGATGAACAATAGCATGCAGTTAAAGTGTCTAATCTAGTCACAATTTGAGCGTTTTGAAACAAACGTGGCAGGAAATTGGCTGTATGTTAAAGAAGTCTGAAATGTTTACATTCACTCATGGCACTTAAGATGCTAAAATGCTGAAAGTGGAGGGAAGAGGTCCTTTTATTGGCCTCAACAAAATTTCTATGTCGACCATAAACTATTCTCTTAAAAATAATTTTTCCTAAGGTATCTTCAAAATACTGTGTATTTTTATGTGAAAAAGATATGAAAGCAGCTGTTACTTCAAAATATCATTTAAACTACTTGAGGTATGAAAGCTTAAAGGTTATTTAATCATTTTGGCATAACTTGATTGTTGTTGTAATTTTTGGTCAAGCATGTTAGACGAATAAAGTCTTAAAAGAAACAACAAAACACAAGGCTTCTTTATATCCCCCTGGCGCACTCAATTCCAAGTAATAGAGCATCTGCTCTGCAGCTGTGGGAGCCAGCCTGAGGGTACTGAGTTGGGGTATTGAAGCTGCCATCATGAATGGCTGGGGGCAGCTGGCACAGAGGGTGGGGTGTCCCATGGGTCATGCAGCCGACACAGTGGTGGTCACTATGATATGACCAGCAGGGCATGGACTTTGTCCTGCTCTGTCCTGGTAAGTCTTGGTCTTCACTGTCACTTGCTCAAGCTGCATGCTGCCCTTTGGGAATGTTTAGTGAACTGGGGGACGGACAGTTTGAGTGCTGGCTTATGTCTGTACAGACACAAACTATACAGGTTTGTGAGATAGAGCAAGGGAACATTTTTATTTTAGCATTGTGAACACCATCAAAAGCCTGGATTTCTTGCCCCAGCTCCAATCTACCCCAGGTGAACAAGGCCATGAAAGGGAAGGTTTTGCAGTTTTGGAACTGTCAGCTCTGTTTAAATTCAGGGATGAGCTGTCAAGATGTTTCCCACCCCCGTCCCCAGGGCTGACCTTCACCGCTATTTATCCAGGTAGGATCACTCCCAGAGGTGTGCTGGTGTGTGTCAGTAATAACGTGCGTTCCCATCATTAGGCAGAATTGTTACAGAGATAAATTTCAGTTCACTTCAGTGAGGACTAGGAGATATTGCTGCATGTCAGTGAAAAAAGGCGAGATTATTTTTACCTCTCTCAGGCACATACGGCTGGGGATGTGAAATGTTCCTTGGCTACGAGGAGTGAGCAAGCAGGGATGCGGCACCCACCAGAGCAGCTGCGTTTTCCACTACCCACCACAGTGTACCCCGATCTGGGGAGCTGGATTTGGGAAGTCAGATGCTGCTGCTTGTGAGAATCTGAAGCTAGAGAACCCCAGAACTTCTCTGCCCTTCAAGGAGAGTTCTTCAGGGATACAGCAAGCCACCTTCCTGGGGGAAAGGTGGAAATCCCTATCTTGCTCAGCAGTGTGAAGTGTGGAGACTGGAGGCCGTGCTGGGCAGGAGGCAGTGCCAGCATTCAAGCATTGCTGCAGCAGGCAGCTAGAAGGGATAGGGAGAAGCAGTTCATCTTCTGCAGACTCTGAGCATGCTGACAGCCAACATAAGTGTTTCAGAGGAAGGAGGAACAAGATACTCCTTTGAAGGCAATTTTTGGAATAGTCTGCTCATGGGGATGTCTGCCCCTCTTCATTTATTCTTGTTTGTATGTGAATTTCTCTCTTAAAAACTCGTATTATTGCTCACTGCTAATGTAACTCACATTTAGCAAAGATAACTGCAAATGTCCTGTCAGGTACATTGCTGTCCCTCTCAGGAAACTCTCTGCATCTGAGATTTCAGAGATATTTTAGAACAGCAAGCTCCCTGGGTGATGATGCACTGTGCATTAGAACAACAGCATTTCATTTATCCCTGCAAGAGTGCCACCACTCGACTTTGTTGACTGTCCCTTTGATCTCTTTTTATGTGAAAAGTGTGAATAGGAGTGCTTATATGTACCTGCTTTGGACCATTTGTTATTTTGTATATTTCCAATACTTTGCTTTTTCCTCACTTTTCAGGAAATTTAAACAATTTCAAATATTTCTAAACCTCTTTCTGTCCTATCCCAGAAAGGCTCTCTCCCTTCCCATGTGTCCTGTGGGAGCTGAGGAAAGCCAGGGACTCCGGAGGACCTCCTGTCCCTTCCCAACAGAGCTTCTGGGAACAACGACCTGCCACTTTCTTCTGTCCTGATCTTCATCTAATGCTGTTCATTTGTTTAGGGTTTTTTGATAACGACAGGTATTTGCAGCCCAAAGTGAAGGACTGTGGTGAGCTGCCCATGGTCCCAGATGGAGTTTTCCTTTAAAGAGATGGCAGCCTATCTAGGCTCCCCTGGTTTGTACAAGCACCATCTGTTTGAGGACACATCCACGTGGGAATCCTTTTGTGTCTCTGTGGAATCCCTTTGAGTCCACGTCAGAATGTTTCTGCGGCCTTTCCCCTCTGGGCCCCTCCCCTGGCCCTGGTGGTGCACCCTGCAGCCCTCCTCTCCTCAGGCCTGCCAGTGGTGCTCCTGGCTGTGGGGCCGGGCACGCTGCTGTGAGGGGCTGGCAGCAGAGGGATGCCTCATGGCTCCCATCCCGTGGTGTGGTGCTTCCCAGCATGTCCCTTGCTCATGACCCTTTGCAGCCTCTCAGGAACTGCTCTTTGACAAAGGTCTACATCAGGACCTTTGCAAGTGTCCACACCAATTATATCAAGGTACCTCTTCTTGACAGGATTTTGATGTACCAAAGCTTTCAAATAGATTAAAGGAACAAGCTTTTATTTTCCAGAAACTGACCATGTTTTATTTCCACACACAGCAAAGTTCATTCTCTTCTAGAGCACGACAAGCCAATGCTGAGCAGAGCAATTAACCTCACTGTCAGCCATTGGGCCTGTGCACAACATGCCCTTGTGCTCCCGCCATTTGCTCAGCCTCAACATCACCCAGGTCTGGTCAGACAGCAGATGGCTTCTGGCACTGGAACACTGTGTGTTGAAGGCCCCGTTCCCAGCTAGAAGCCAGCCTCATGCCATGGGCCTCACTGGGGAATGGTGATCGGATGGGCTTGCTGTTTTCATTCAGTGCTTTCTGCTCTGGGGATGTCATGAGCCTTCAGTGCGCTGATGGAGTTGTGCTGCAGAAACAATTCTGGCTGCCTTGCATGGCAGCCCATCCAGCAGCTGCTGCTCCTGCGAGGGAAACATTCTTAGGCTAACTGAGACCTTCACCCCTGCCTAACAGCTTGGGACAAAGTTTCCAGAAATAATAAAGTTATGCGGGATAACACAATTTAAATTGATTGGGCAATTAAACCTTCATTTGTATTTCTTTTAGCTATTTTATAAGGCCTTTGCATGGTGCAGCTGCTCTGACTGCATCTGTTACCTGATGTTTTACAAGGAAGGGAAAGCTGCTTTGCATGGACACGTGTTGGCTGCCAGTCACCTTTCTTTTGTCACCAACCCTTCTGCCTCTGTCCTCACCACTGTGTGCCACTCACTGGGGGGCTTCATGAGCAGCCCCCAACATGGGTATCCCCACTCCAGACACATCTGTCTCTCCATGGGCTGGAGTGCATCCTTATACACAAAGAAGAGGAGGTCCAGCTGGCAGGATGGCTGGTTTGCCCAGCAGAGATGAGACTGGATAAGGG